CACAACATCCATCCATCCATCCATCCATCCATCCATCCATCCATCCATCCATCCATCCATCCATCCATCCATCCATCCATCCATCCATCATCTTCTTTGTGTTCCAAAGCTGATCTCTACCAGATATCCAAACCATCTCAACTGGCTCCTCTCGATGTGGAGGAACAGTTGTTCTACTGAGTCTCTCCCAAATAACTGAACTTCTCACTCTGTCTTTAAGGGAGAGTCCAGTTACCCTGTGGAGGAAATTCCTTCCAACCGCCTGTATACGCAATATTGTTTTTTTTTTTTTATCACTACCCAGAGTTTGTGGCCATAGATGAGGGTAGGAATGTAGACCGACTGGTAAACAGAGAGCTTTGACTTACAGCTCATCTCCCTCTTTAGCGCGATGTACCGGCACAGAGTCCGCTATACTGCAGACGCTGCACCAAACTGTCAATCTCATGCTCCATTCTTCCCTCACTCATGAACAAAACCAAACAAAACCCCGATACTTGAACTCCTCCACTTGAGGCAGAACCTCAACCTCAACTCGAAGAGAGCAATCCACCTTTTCCTGAGGTCCATGGCCTCAGATTTGGAGGTGCTGATCCTCATACCAGCCATTTAACACTCAGGTGCAAACTGCTCCAGGGAGAGCTGAAGATCACGGCACAATAACGCCAACACGACCACATCATCTGCAAATAGCAGAAATGGAATCATGAGGCACCGAACCGGACTCCCTCCACCCCACTGGCTGCACAGAGAAATTATGTCCATAAAAGTTATGAACAGAATCATGACAATGGGCAGCACCAAAGCCCACCCTGAAAGAGTCCGACTTACTGTCGGCAATGAGAACCAAACCCTCACACCGCTTGTATAGGGACCAAACAGCCCATAGCAACAGACCCCCAATCCCATACTCACGGAGCACCCCCCACAGTGTACCCCGAGGAGCATGGTCGAATGCCTTCTCCAAGTCCACAAAACACATGTAGATTGGATGGGCAAATTCCCATGACGCCTAATGAGGGTAAAGAGATGTTCCAGTGTTCCACGGCCAGGACAGAACCTGCATTGTTCGTCCTGGATCTGAGGAATGGCCTTGCTTCCCCAGAACCCTTGAATAGACCATACCAGGTTGGCTAAGGAGAGCGATACCCCTATAATTGGACCACACCCTCCAGTCCCCCTTTTTAAGAGGGGAATCACCAAACCAGTTTGCCTCAGTACACTGCCCCCTACGTCCACATGATGTTGCAAAGGCATGTCAACCATGACAGCTCCACAACATCCAGAGACTTAAGGAAATCAGGGTGGATCTCATACACCACCAGAGCTCTGCTGCCATGGAGCTTTTTAACTCCTTTGGCGACCTGGTTATAGACAGACCGACCCCGAAGTCCACCAACTCAGCTTCCTCCATGGAAGACGTGCAAGTGGGATTGATAAGGTCTGAGAAGTATTTCTTCCACCTCCTGTTGGCATCACTGATTGAGGTCAACAGCACCTCCTTCACTGAACACAATGTTAGTAAAGTGCTTCTTTCCCCTCCTCAGCCGTCTGATGGTTTGTCAGAGTTTCCTCAGAGTCGATCGAGATTTTCTATTCAAGGCCTCACAAACTCCTCCCAAGAATTAATGCAACGGAAATGTTCGGCTGTTGAACTCATCTTCATCCTGCACCTATTGTAGGAAATGATTAGCTGAGGTCAGAGAGCTGTAAGAGCCGGAACAGACAAACCAAAGCCAGTGATTATTGATTAAAGTTTAACCAACCGCGGCGAGCACAGATTTATGGAGTGAGCTGTTAATCTGACTGCTGACATGTCAGTGAAGAAAAAACACATGCATTTTATGTTCCTGCTATTAATTTCAAGTTGTCTTCCATAAAAGTAAAACAGACACAGCTGTTTAAACAAAATAAACCCTCAGTCACTCAAGAGGAAATCTTGTCGATAGATTGAGTGATTCTCCTCACGCTGAGGCTTCAGGTTGTTAAAGAACATGGAGTGCCTACCTGCTTCAAGTCGGGCCATTCCTTTGGTAAAATATGATTGTGAATATCAATCTTCATCTTTATGTTTATTATCTAAATGAATAGGTCTGCAACTAGAGGGACTTTGCAGTACCTGTGCTAAAACTCTTTCCCCACACCCAGTTTGGGATCAGTGACCGACAGGTGAATGACTGCTTGGACGAGCTGGTCATTTATTACCTAATCGAGTTCAAGCATTTGCCTGAATGTGTGTTTCTTCAAAATATTCATCTCAAACATTTGTATATTTCTGTTCAAATAGATGTCAGCTTATTGTGCTTTTATCTTGATGCTACTATATTCGATTTATTCAACTTTCATTAAAAACAATTCTCAGAAGAACACACTGATTGGCTTGAGCCAGGCTACATTTTGTAATCTTTTAGTGTGACTTTAAGACATTTTACTGTGAGGTTTACCGTTTTGTAACCGATTCTTATCACAAAATTAATGAATTTACAGGGTTGCCTTAAAGGTTGCTTTTATAACATTAGTCCATGCAATGTTCTGCTAATTTTCAGTAAAATGTCTTCATCTCAGCATCACTGATCACTGTCGATCCGTGCAGAGGCAAACAAAACGAGGCCTTGTCACTGATAAATGTGCAATTTAACACTCCAGCAGCCCTTTAGACTGTGACTTAATGAGACAGAACTAGTTGTTTGGCTTTCCTTAGTCATTTACACTGTAGCTCTTCACATGCTGTTCAGCCACTTAGTGGTTATTCCATGTCCATGTCAATTTCTACAGAGATGGTCATTGACTCTTCAAAGTCATAAAGTGATGGTGATTACAATACGGACTTTATTATGGGTAAAGTACCATCATTCTGCTGTGTCATTATGTGTTTCTCTTTAGGGTGGCTTTATAAATGAATAAGAAGTCCACAGTTATAATGTTACTTTCAGCTATTAAGTATTAAGAAAAGCTTCACATATAGACTGTATATTTTATAGACCAAGTGTCCCTGCCTTCTTTTGTTGCTCAGACTTGAAACCAGCTGGACCTGGTTCTATTTTGTAGAGTCCATACACTGTGAAGTGGGGTTTTAAGTCCCGCCCACAATGGTGTCACATGATCTTTCTTTTAAGCACGAAAGAAGTAATTACCGTAATAAAGATATTACAATAAATAATGTTTGAACATACAGCAGCAATGTATGCAAAAGAGCAAGAATAAACACCTGAGAAAAATTATCTGAGGTGTATGTTTCTATTTTACTAACAGCAATGTTTAAGTCTACATCGGGGGAGTCAAACTCCGTTACAAAAGGGGGGCAAAATTAAAAACTTAGTTTAAGCAAAGAGTCAGTTACAGTCATTGCATTAACTCCAGTGAGATAGCTGACATCTTTAATTGGTTGCACATTCATCAACTTGAGTTTAATTGGTCTCATTTGATGTTTTCTGTTGCTCTTTCCACGTCAAAATTATAGACTACCGTAATTTTCACTGTATAAGTCACAGTTTTTTGCATAAATTAGCATGCCTGCGACTAACCAGTGAAGCAATGTATTTATGTTCCCCCCCATATTCATAACCCAATTTTTGACTGAGATCTGACGATTTCATTCATTCTGACATGGAAAATATTGAACACTACAATTTTCAGCCACTAGACTGCCCTCGACTAATATTACAACCCAAGTGTCTCATTAATAGGTAAAAGTGGCTATTAATGAGACACTTGGCTTGCCATACAGAGTCACCTTCGTCTCGCTCTGGAACTCCTGAAGTAAACATTAAATCAGTTGCATTTTGCTGCGCCGCCCAGGTGAAATGCAGCGGATTTGACCATTAAAGTGCATTTATTAAGGAAAAGTTAAAATGAGACACACCTTTGCTATAATTTTGAGCAAACAAATAATTGTTTTTGTTTTTAGGTGGTTATCCTGGTAAATGTCGAAGAAATGCACAGCGAGTCCTCCCTCTGCCCGCGTCCGCAAATTGGCTTTTGAAATGCAGCTGATTTGACCAAAAAGTGCATTTATTAAGGAAATATTAAACTGAAACAAACCTTTGCTATAATTGATCAGCCAATCAATTTTTGGCACAACACCGGCCCACATTTCCGTGTTGTCAGCAGTGACGCCTAATAGATTCAACATATGTGACAAAGCGACATATTTATGTTTTTCTCCACTTTATTAGACATATTTGGACAGATGCAATTTATATGGCGGTGCAACATTTACAGTGGCAAGTACGGTACTAAAAAAGCCAACCATTTTTCTAGCTTCAACGTTAGCAAATGTCATGAGAGGTCTGCATTAAATTAAGTATTTATCAGGTGTTTTTTTAGCAAAGTTAGAAAAGATAAAAAATATTTTACATTTAAAATATCTTAGGGGGCCAGATAAGATGTTAAGGGCCGGATTTGTCTCTCGGGCCTTAAGTTTGACACATCTGGTTTACATGAAGGGACCAAAAAAGACCATATACTGGAATGGGTAGGGTTGGTTGGTCTAGTTCCAGCTTCATCTTTTAGGTTCCAGTGAGAGGTCGGAATATAGTTGGTCAATGGTGTGGAAAGTATAAATTAAGTTGTAAAAAAGGCAGTATCACAAAAAAGGGATGTGAATATGCGTCACCATTTAATGTTTTTTTTTCCTTTAAGGGAATATTTCACAGGGTTGCAATGGTTTGAAACTATAGGTAATGACCAAAAGGTGCAAAGAAAATGTAAAAAAAAAAAAAGGCAATTTTTCAATTGCAGTTACATTTTTGGCTCTCATATTAAAGCTAAAATGCAAGGAGCCTGTCTGTCAGCAAAAAGAGGTTCAAATGACTGAGCAAGGATTGTGTGATCCTGGCAAATAAGTTAAAGTACCTATACTTAAAACGGTCTGACTATGGCTGTAATGGACTACTGTATAATCAAGTGCAGCTCTGGATAGAAGATGGCTCTCCTGGGGTGTGCATCTTTCATAACCACAACTGTAGCAAAAATATGGCTTCTAACCTAAAGACAGCCCACCAAGTCTGCTATTAGAGCACTCAAGTGTGCTGGTATTTGCACTTTTCTGCTCCGTTCCATCTAATGATGTGTGAGTTAGAACAAGCTGAAATACCTCTTCATGTTGTCACCGCTCAGGTTCTGCAACGGTTCACAAAGACTGGACTGACGCCGTACGGTGGCTCAACCTCAGTGACATTTACAAACAGAAAAACAGCAGTGAGCAGGTCTGGCATGCTAACAGGCAGAGGTGAGTTTGAGTTTTTATTTTTCCTGAGACTGAGGACAGCTTATTCACTGATGCTGTTACTGATGTTTTTTTTTTTCTTCCATAAATCTAAACTGGCAAGAAAACTTGTAAAGACGCTCAGTCTTGGGTTATAAGACTCCGTCCTGATGCAGAAACATGTGCAACATGGATAAACTTGCTCATTTTGCTGTGTTTGCTGAAGACAAATGACCAGAATGTGTCTCTGTTTAAAAAAAAAAACATACACTTTGATTTGGAGAAACTTTAATTGATAGAAACAAGCATTACTAACACGTGTTTACAGATGTGCACCAGTTTGATCAACCTTTAACATACATCCATCCATCCATCCATCCATCCATCCATCCATCCATCCATCCATCCATCCATCCATCCATCCATCCATCCATCCATCCATCCATCCATCCAACCATTATCTGTTTTCCGTTTCTTCCTTTTTGGGTCACGGCGGTCACTAGTGCTCATTGTCCAGCAGTTACTGTGCAAGAGGCAGGCTACACCTTGTACAGGTTTCAAGTCCATCACAGGGACTCATAGAGACAAAGGAGACAACAAAACATTCACTCTCTCACTCACACCTGGAGACAATTCTAACATGCACGTTTTCGATCTGTGGGCGGAAACCGGAGTACCCGGAGAAAACCCACACATGCACGGAGAGAACATGCAAACTCCACCCAGAAAGGACTCCAGACCAGGATTTGATTGGACAACCTTCTCACTGAGAGGCGGCAGCTCAACCAACTGCACCACCGTGCCACCTGACCAGCCTTTACCATCAATGATTCCTGAGTTGTTTTTATTTTCAGATGACTTTATTTACTACTTCTTTCTTTGGTCATTTTATCACGATCAGCATGTGCTAAACTCAAATGCAGACAAACACGAGGGACTCAAAGATAAATAAAGAGTATACATTTATTAAAAAAATAAAAGCGGACAAGGCAGAAAAACTTACTTTTCAGGGAAACACAAGGATCATGATGGCTATGAGAAGCACAAGCTACAGGCAACGTGGAAACACAGAGATGCCGAACTTAAAGAGACACTAATGAGACACAATCACCAGCCCCTGGAAGACAACGAGGAACAGGTGAGAGTGGGAGCTGGAGGTGACTACATGAGGAGAGAAACACTGGGGAAACTGGAAACAGGGAAAACAGACTTGAACATAAAAATAATCACAAATAGACACAAACATCACAAAACATGTTTTTTTTCTTCCACAGTAATGGTTTCCCTCAGAATGATCAGTTTCTGGGTGAAATTCTGAATGAACCTAATGGCCCCAAAATTCAGAAAGTAAAGCTAATTTTTTCATCTTAACACAAAAAACAGTTTCAGGAGATTTTTACTTTCTTTTCAGCTGCAAGAAGGAACTCTCCAGCCAACACCTGCTTGCTCCACATCTTTAATTGATTTCTTCATTATAGGCATTTACCATGAGGGAATTCAAGAAGTACGTGTTACAATGCATTTTATTTGCATTGTTACAAAGTCTTGTACTTTTGTTTTAATATTGTCAAGGAAACTTCAACATGTCAATGATGTTAGAGTTTGGGTTTTTATAGTGAGTTTGGTTGTTTTTCTTGCTTTAAATCGTTGTTAATCATTTTTATCTATCTGAATATTTCATGTTTTTGTAGAAATGTTTTCAGTCATCTTGGTTTCTGAACAAAAATGTTCACATACATTATAAAAGCCAATTAGTAAAACAATTCTATCTAATGAAGCAGATTGAGTTGAGTCTTCACTTCTTCACAATCTCCCATCTTGAGCAAGCACAACGGCGACAGTGGAAAGGAAAAACTCCATCCTAATAGGAAGAAACCTCCAGCAGAACCAGGCTCAGGACGAGCGTCCATCTGCTTTGACCGTTTCAGGTTTTGGGAACAGGAAAGAGAAACAAATGAACACAGAATGGCAGGTCCAGGTTTCTATTGGAGGAAAGACTAAAATCACATTTTAAGGATGAAAATAATTACCAATACAAACTGGTGGAGTAGAGCAAGTAAAAACAGGAGCAGAATGAGGAAATGTGTTCAGTTTGTCCTCCAGCAGCATAACTAAGGGATAGCTCAGGAAACCCAAGCCAATTCTAACTATAGGATTTATCAAAAAAGAAAGTCTTAAGCTCAGTCTTAAACTGGATAATGTGTCAACCTCTTAGGAAGTAACTGGAAGTTGGTTCCACAAGAGAGGAGCCTGAAAGATCTTCCTCCCATTTTATTTTTGGAAACTCTAGGGACCACAAGTAAGCCTGCAGTTTGAGAGCGAAGTGCTCTGTTAGGAAAGTAAGGCACAATAAGACATGTAATATAAGATGGAGCTAGGTTGTTGAGAGCTTTGTAGGTTAGAAGTAAGATTTTGAATACTTTTCTGGATTTGACAGGGAGCCAATGGAGAGAAGCTAAAACTGGAGAGAAATGATCTCTCCTACTAACTCTCATGAAAACTCAGGCAGCAGCACTTTGGATCAACTGAAGATCCATCCATCCATTATCTGTTTTCTGTTTCTTCCATTTTGGGTCATGGGGGTCTCTGTGCCCATGTCCAGCAATCATTGTGCGAGGGGCGGAATACACCCTGGACATGTCGCATGTCCATCACAGAGACACATAGAGACAAACGAGACAAACAACCATTCACTCTCTCACTCACACCTAGGGACAATTTAGAGTTACCAATCAGCCTAACGTGCATGTTTTTGGTCTGTGGGAGGAAACCGGAGTACCTGGAGAAAATCTACGCATGCACGGAGAGAACATGCAAACTCCACCCAGAAAGACCTCCGGACCAGGATTTGAACCGGGGACCTGCTTGGTGAGAGGCAGCAGCTAGTTGTGCCACTGTGTTGCCCTCAGCTGAAGATATTAAAAAAATAAATAAATAAATTGGACACCCAGATAATAAACCATTGCAATAGTCCAGTCTAGATATGACAAATGCAAGAACAAGTTTTTCTACATCATTTTAGGACACAAAGTTTCTAATTTGAGTGATATTACGCAGGTGGAAGAAAGCGGTCCTGGTAACATTTTTTAATGAGCGGGTTAAAAACACATTCTGATCAAAAATAACACGGATATTTTTAACATTAGAGCTGGAGGCCAGATTAATGCCATCCAAGTGAAAGACTGCAAAATTTATTCCTAAAACGCTCAGACCCAAAAATCACAACCTCTGTCTCGTCTGAGTTTAAAAGCAGAAAATTAAGAGTAATCCATGTTTTTTTACATCTATAACACATGCTTGTAATCTCTAACAAGTATCTGGATGTAAAACTGCCTGCTACCTGCATCTGTGGGTCTTCAGGCAACACATTTATTACAAGCATTCTGCATAGTTTAAAGATTCAGCCAGTTCAGTGACGCAGCTGTTCAAACACTTAAACACACCATTTGACACCATATATAAAAACAAGCTCATGAAGTGAAACATATGGGTGTTAATTATAGAAATTAGGAAAAGATAAACAGGATTTACAACAAAAGTTTCAATTTTACAATACAAATGAGCCAAATTTTGTTTTTATTTCGTCGTTTCAAGAGAAAAAAAAAAAACATTTACCGATTACGCTAACCCCTGTTTAACCCAGCTTGACTTTGTATTGTGCAAAGTGAAATTAAAACACCTTAAAAGCTAATTTAATCCCAACTAAATCAAGATTAGATGTAAAAAATGCACTCTTTTCACTGTGATTTCCCGGTATGACAATAAAGCTTATTCTGATTTTAACATTAAGTTGTCATCTGATGCACATGTGTAACACAAAGCAGCATCTTGACTCTTTCTGCTTCGTGCTGACTCCAGTGTAGTTTGGGTTTCACCTGGATTTCACCTGGATTTCACTTCATTTATCAGCTGATCTGCAGCCATTTTCACCTGTCTGATCTTTTATTAAGATATTTGGATCCCTGCCTCCCTGCCTGCAAAGATTAGAGCTTTTAAATGCTCTTAAAACCACATAAACCCAAGATGCTCTTGGCGTGCACTCTATTTATTTGCAGTTAATTCCGAGAAGACAGAGAAGTCATATCTTGTGCTCGAGGATGAAAGTAAACAATGATGGCGCTATTTGGGACCATCAGTCATGCACGAGGAGCTTGCTCTGTTTGGGAATGAGATGCTGAGTTATGAGAGGAGGAGAAAAGGAGGGAAGGGGAGGAGGGAAAACAACTTGCTGGCACCGCCTGGCAGATCCACAGCAGATTTGAGATTTATCGCATCATCATCTAACCCTACATCACCGCTTCAGTGAGGGGGGAGAAGAAAAAAACAAAAAAAAAATCAGGTGCTGGAGTGTTGACACCTCCAGGAAGGAGTTCCTCTGATGCTTCGAAGATAAATTCCTGCATCTCTTATCTTGTCTTATCGCCATCTTCATCTGCCCCCCCCTCCTCTGCGCAACTGAGCCGAACTGGACCCGCTGGATGGCTGCTGCACTTCACGAACCGGTGTGAAGATTTTCCTCATTTATCTCCCCCCTTTTCCAACCTCCCTCCCCATCCTCCTCAGCTTCCTCTGAGCCTGAACCCAAACGGAGCAGCAGCAGTAACAATGGCAGACCAGGTGAGCCAAGAGTCCTGCCCCGTCCCAGAAGCCACCGTGGTGGATCCGTGCCCGGCCACGGCGCGGAACGGCCAGTGCGCGGCGGATGGCTTCAGCAGCCACCCCCAGCAGCAGGCAAAGACCCCCACAGAGCCCGAGACGTTCACAGGCAACCAGGAGATGAAGATGACTGACAATGTGGACGGAGAAGGTAACTTCAGGGCTGGGTTTGGATGTTATACCTGCTTTAAAAGTTGTCTGCGCGTTTTGGGTGGGATGTATGGGTGCGCATATGTGTGTGTGTGTGTGAGAGAGAGAAAGGGAGGGGGGGAGGGGGGCTATGACGAAGGCAAGGATGCTTATTTTTATCCGTGCCAGATATTTTCAGTCTGCTCTTTGAATAATGTATGATAGTCGTACATCAGCAGAATTCGTTGGAGCAAATCAAAAGTTTCACTTCAAAGCTTTAAAATCCGCTTGTGTTCTGGATGTGTTCACCTGTCACCTGCTGCGTGTGGAGACTGGGACACCAGGGGGAATTCAGGCTCCTCAGTCATGCACCAGAGGGATGCAGATGGCTGGATTGTGCTGTGAAACCTTCTGCATGTGCAAACCCTGAAATGAACACGTTGTGCACGAAGAATTCCTCCATCCATTCATAATCTGTACAAAACATGTGCAAAATAAAATAAAATAAATTCCCCAGTGGAAACGTTTAAAGCCTCGGTTGGACACTGAATCCTAAACCTAAAACAGGTTCAAGTTTATTTAATCCAGTTCAAGAACAGTTTGAATTTCAAAAATCTCAGTCTCACAAGGTTTAGGCCATGTTTCCTATACTGGGACGTCTCCCTGTTTATTTATTTATTTATTTATTTACCAACAGTCTGTAAACATCTAACCAAGGAGACCAATTAATTGAGCTTTTGGAGAGGAATGCTGTCCCACTTTTGTCTGGTGGAGGATTCTAACAGTCCTGGGTCTTTGTTTCCGGACATTTTTGTTTTATAATGTGTCTATTGTTTCAATTGGTGAGAGGTCTGGACTGAGAGCAGGCCAGTTCAGCACCTGGACTCTTCTACTGAGAAGCCATGTTGTAATGGAAGCAGTGCTTTAGCATTGTTGCACATGCAAAGCCTTCCATGAAAAAAAAAAAAAAAGTCCTCTTGATGGGAGTATGCATTGTTCTTAAACTTGTACATATGGTTCTGCATTGATGGGGACTGTCCAGATGTGTTTAAAGCTGCCAATGCCAGGGGCACTAATGCACCTCCATACAGTCAGAGAGGCAGGCTCTAGAACTGTGAGCTGACCTTCTTAACATGGAAGACATGGTGTATGGGGCTTCCATAAAAAAAAATCAAATTTGAGCACAGAAATGTTTGCCTCAAGCCATTGCAAATTATTTTTGTCCAAGAGAAGATGTTTCTGGGTGGTGTTCACGCATGACTTTATCTTTACACAACATAGGCTGGTCCATTTTTTTCTTCTGAGACATTCAGACAATCAACCTAACTTGCTGCATACTGCTGCTCCAGCTGTTTCTTATCTGTATCATTTACTTCTGCAGCCTTTCTTTGCCCCTGTCCCAACTTTTTTGACATAAGTTCCTACCATAAAATTCAAAATTACAATATTTTATCTGAAAATAGTCCAATTTCCGAAACTGTTGAAATGCTTATGTTCCATGTGAATCAAATGAGATTTGTAAACCACTGATTAAATTTTTCTTCAGAATTTAGGGTTGTAATATCTGATTAAGGCACTGTTTTTCTTTTGGATGTGAAGTTTATTCTAGCTGACATTAGACAAGAGAAAAAAAAAAACAACCTCTGACAGGCCACAAATCCATCACAGGAATACATTGAGGAGTAAAACCAGATATTTTCCTTATTTATAGGAAACAAATCTTCATGATAAAACCTGGCTTAGACACAACTATAATATCTGAAGGGTTATTTTCTCAGGCTTGAGTGTAACATGACAAACCTTGAGTTCAAAAACGTGTTTTCTTTTTATATTCTGACTCCAAAAGTTATTTTAATGTGACCACAGTTTTATAAAACCTGATAAATCATCTATAAAAATAATTTGCCGTTGTGGGTATTGCTGGCACAGTAATAACTTTGTCATGAGTTGTGGCTGTGAGGTCCAAATATAGACAAAGGGAGCAGACAGTTGTAAATTGACTTGCTGATGCTGTTAAAGCTGCAACGTGAATTTGAGTTCAACAGAAAATATGATAAATAACAAACTAACAAACATGTATGTGGAGGCAAATGTTGGTAAATGAAAACAAGTGAGCTAAATGGGAACATGGAACAAGAATCAGAATCAGAATAAGCTTCATTATCATTGTAGCGGAATACAGTGAAATTATGTTCGTACAGTCGTCTGAAACATGGGCGGCGTGCACGTTGCTGCTGCTGAAAAGCGCGGCCCCTTATTCTTTATCAGAATACTTTTAGATAGAAGAAGGGAAGAACCATGAGGATGGATAGTGGTATTACAAAAAAGATCCCTTCACATCTTGTCCTATCAGGACACAATTTGAGACATCAAAAACTCTACCAGCAAGCACATTTATAAACACGATTACATTTGACGTCAATGTATTGAGATTTGTCCATGAGGGTTTTTCAGATAGGCCACAGTCCTGATGATGTTGTTTCAGCTGGCAGTTCTGATAAGCCTGCACAGAAGTTCAGACAAAGCTTTTGTCCCTAGTCACCCATGTTCTAGGAGAAATTTGATAGTCGGCTCGTATCCGAGACCAAACGGAGGAGTCACATTCAGATAACCCACAATTGTTGATTTTCTTCAGGCAAACAGTTTTTCCTCGTCAGCCTTGAGTCCTTCTGGAACTTTCCAGTCCAAAATGGTCAAATTTATGTGCATCCACTCCACTGATCCATGTTATACGCCTCCTTCAAGGTCGCTCCCAACATGCTGGCGAGTCCTAGATGCCGCAGGTTGTCTGTGATTCTCACAAATAACCTCCATCTTATGGTCTAGCTCGTAAATCAGCTGATTTTAAGTATTCATAGCACAAACCAATCCTTCATACTAATTCAAAATCTTTGTCATGGCCGAAACTGCTGCCAATGTCTTCAAAAGTCGATAAAACAGAGCCCGCCGATGCCAAAGAGCAGAAACCCTGATATCATAAATCCAAATATATAAATGTCGTCAGCGTCCTCCTGAGAAAGGACTGAGAGACACATCAGCTGCCAAACTCCCCACGGATCTCTGATATACCCCACAGCGTGAGTCTCAGTCGGACAAGAGGGTTCTCCAGGACCCTGTCGTTTTGTTGAAAAGATTTTGTCGAATGCGTTGAAAGCCCAGCTCACCAGATCCATAATCTTAGTTTTCGTTTGGGAGATGTGTACCAGACGCTTCAGACACACAGAGCGAAGCAGGAGGAAGGAGAACTGGGGAGGGAGGGCAGGAGCGTCCACCTTGAGCGAGAGCCAGAGTAGAAATGGTGGAATATTGTAATTGAAACAAAGGATTTGTATTGACAAGATTTAAAATAATAAAGTACAACTTTTACTGAATAAAGAAAGAAGGACTAACAAAACATAAACTCAGATAACAAAATTAATGTATGCATAACAAAATTTGTGCTCTTCAAAATAAGAATATCATAATAAGAAGCCTAATAAATGTCAGATTGGTACGAACCAGGTTAGATTTTGCCATACAAATCATTATTTAGGGTGCAATAAAAGCATAAAGTAATTAAAGGAGCATATTTTTGAAGGAAATGCATATCTCCTGTCAAGTAAAAATTTAAAGTAAAAGCATTTAGTGCTGAAAAATTATCAAAGTCAAAGTTTCTTTATTTGTCATACACGCGGTACATGTTGTGGAACAAAATTGTGTACACAGGGTCCCAGTTACATCCAACAAAAGCATAAATTGTAAAGAAAAACAGTAATAAGATCTAAGATATGAATTAAGAAAAACATTAAACTAAAATGATGGCCAAAGTGTCACAAGGACTGAAAATCCAGATCGAAAGGTCTGAATATGAACAACTCAAACACACAGGGGTCAATTCAGTGCTTTTATTTATAGTGAATAAATAACCAGGAAGTATCAGGAACCCTGGGGAGCAAGGAGAAGGCTCAGATCCAAGGTACTGCAGTAATGGGTTGATCAGAATGTTCTTGGTTCTTAGTGGTAGAAGGATGATGGATTGGTCCCAATAATGAGAGGGTCCAGTAAACTCAGAAGGGTGTGTGGTTGGAGAGTGAGGAGAACAGCTGAGGAGGACACGAGGAAGGTTCCAGAGTTTCACAGGGGAGGCCAGGAACTGGCAGATCTTAGGAGGCACGCTGGAAAAATCACAAAGGCAAGAGTAATCTTAAGTCTAGAGAATCCCAAAAGGCTAGAAGCACGAACCACAGGCAGGGTAATGCTCCAGAGTCGAAGGGAAGTCATCAGATGCCTTTTATATGCCTGTATGGCGCCATCTAGTGACCTCAGGACATACGTGGAACAGGAACTCCCACACAAATTTTAAAAATAAGTATGATCTCACACAACTTTGTGAAGTCGCACACTCAAAGCATGTGCAATGAATGACGTTCCGCTACTACCACATCAAATACTTACTTAATATCTCTAAATCTAATGGAATTAAAGCCTTGTTTTTTGGCTAATGCAGATTAGCTGTGGCAGCCATCTTAAACTGGACTGACAATAAAACCTAATAAGTTGTAGCTTTGAACCAATGATGACTTTCTGAAAATTTCAATAATTGTTCATTGTTTCACAAGATATTTTGCTAACAAACAGTACTGACTCCCAACAGTTAATGGAAAATGTTTTAATATCTTGTACTGTGAGTCGTGTTAAGAGTTTATGTTGGGGACCAGTTTCAGCCAGTTTCACATCAAATTTTAACCCAATATCTGTAACAATGTCTGACAGAGACAGTTTTGTATTTGTTGAGGACAATTAGCTGTAGCGGCCATCTTGAACTGGATCATTTAGACACTTCAATACACAGAAATACAAGAGCTAAAAAACGTATTGCTGCCTTTTTCCTTTAAGAGATAAAGATTATGGAGATGTTCTGTTCAGATTTTCTGGCCTAATTCCTTTTGATATATGAAAGAAAGAACCATGTTTTGTGTAATGATTTGTCAGCAGCGCATTAATTGACCCAAACATATTTACAGAATTTGCAGAATTTGTCAC